GACTATTGACTACTGACCGTATAGCATTGTTTATTTACTAAACATAAGGCTCTGGTGAGTTGACAGCTGCCTTATAAAATGTAGGCCATCATTTGCAAGTGAGTTGTCTTTTTTTTCCTTTATAAAATAAACAAATCTGAGAAAGCCCCATTACTAATAAACTTTTATGGCATTGGTCACCAGTAACCATGTCAAAATTCCAAAAATCTCAGGGGCTTTCGATAAATGTATAGAGTTTCCAGTCCCCACCCCTTCTGAATTTACGTTTATGTACAAAATCATCAAAATCTATGGCTTATTTTTGGCCCAGAAGAAAAATTAAAGACTTGTGCAAAGCAGAAAAATTTGGTTCACCAAATCAATTTTGAAAAAATAAATTGACCGAACTTTGTTGACGCAGCATTTCAGCTTGTCCCAGTTTCATTCATGCAAACGATTCGGAGAAAACAATTGCGATAAACCAAATGGATGCAAAAAATCCGCCTATCACTTTACTGCACTATATAAACATTTTTGCGCCCTCTTAATTAAGCTCTTTCCGAACTGAATGGAATGGTATTTTATCGTTCAAATTCAGTCCATACTAGGTCAATATTAGCCCACAATAATTTCTATATTGTTGCCCAGGAGGCAAATGTGCCTCTGCTCCCCTGCCAGCCCTCCAAGGAGTGACCATGGAATGTAACAATGGTGGCAATTGTCCCCCAGGTCAACATCACAACATCAAGTTAGGTGTAAAGAGACTGTCAGGGATGATAGTGGAGTTTGCAGGTACCAGAGTTACGGTACCACTATGATAATGCCCCTGTAGCACAGTTCAAATATCTGCTGCATGGGACAAATGCAAAGCTGGTAAGTGGTTCAAAGAAGTTGCTATTTGACACGGACTGTCTACTGCCAGATATACTTGTGAGACCTTGCGTCATTGGCACAATGACATCCGCAGGGGTGGTTCCTGCATCAGGTTATGCTGTGAATTTCAAAATATGAATGGCAATATTTCACAGGACCACGCCTTTCCTAAAGCAAAAGCTATCACAAGTCTAACATCAAAAAAAACTTTACTGAACTAAATGTCAACTAACAGCAAGTATATCTCTGTACAATAGTTTCAATACACTTAAATTATATTAATAAAACATTATATATATATATATATATATATATATATATTTGTGTTAGGGTCAAAAATATATAGGGTGATAGAGAGAAATATATGAACAGTGTATTACAGAATGGAAAAAGTCGGTTGAGGTGTGCCGTAACCGACGATGCTGATAGGCCTGTAAAATAAAGAGGGCAATAAGGAAAAATACAGTAAAATATTCAATACAGTCAACAATCAACATATATACGTATACACAAGGTTATATGATAATGCTTGATGGAGTTCCTATATTGGTTGTGGAATGTAACGTGAATAGACTTAGGACTTATAGTGACCTAATGTTTAATTATGTGTACTGGTATAAACCTGCTTGAAGCCATGGATGCTGCCCCTAAAGAATGACCAGAATAACGGAAGGTTAAGGCCTGGTCTTCTTAATTAGTGTTCCGACATAACTCATGAATGAGATCTATTTGATGGTTTGTGTCATAATTAAGTTTAAGGTGGCAAAAAGCAAACTGTAGTAAAGAAAACATGGCAAATATGTCATAAATACACTGTACTAATACAGAGAATATGTAAACAGGAAGGGTGTAAATGAGCATGTATCATAATTGAAGGAAAACGGTTGAAAGGATACGTAGGTTTGACCATGCGTGGGTCAAAAATAAAGAGTGAAAGGATCACTATAGTGTCAGGAAAACAAAGCGGTTTTCCTGACACTATAGTGCCCCCACCCTTCAGCAGCCTACCTTATTCCAGCGCCGGGCTCCCTCGGCGCTGGTGACCTCTCCTCCACCGCCGACGTCAGGTCCCCCGTCAGACTTCAGCGGAGCTGAATGCTCATGCACAGCAAGTGCCGCACGCGCATTCAAAGTGTCCATAGAAAAGCATTTCTCAATGCTTTCCTATGGACGCTCTGCACGATGGAGGCATAATATACCTCCAGCATCATAGATGCGCCTCTAGTAGCTGTCCGGAAGACAGCCACTAGAGGCTGGCTTAACCCCAAATTTAAACATAGCAGTTTCTCTGAAACTGCTATGTTTGCATCTGAAGGGTTAAAACCTGAGGGACGTGGCACCCAGACCACTTCATTGAGCTAAAGTGGTTTGGGTGACTATAGTGTCCCTTGAAGCCTTTTGTTGGCCCATGCATATTGTTGCATAAGTGAAGAAAACATGTAGGTTAAGATGCGTGCCCCGATAGGAGTGATAAGGCCGGGTGATACCTGGTCGGCTGAACTAACCTGTCATGATAAACATAGAGGCAATGAAGGACCACTTACCTGTGACCTGAAATTAGTAATGAGTGGAGAGACTTGGTTGACAGTAATCACTAGGAGACCACTAAGGGTCCAACTTGAAATACCTTATAACATGGACAAGGAATACCATGTACATTGATAATTTGGAATCTGTCATACGGAAGTCATGATGTATGTACCGTAAATGTCTGTACAAGTTGATATTTTATTTCTTAACCCTATGTATCGACCTAAGTATGAGCATGACCTAAATTCATATAGTCAGTTGCGACACCTGCTATGTAGGGGAGCCAAAATGAATTTCATAGTAGTTTGTATAAAGAGTTAAATAAGAAGTGGTTGGCCAGCCATAGTGGCTTCCATGAGTATGATGAGGTGTGACTTAACTTAATGATGACATAGTAGTATAACAATTTATCACCATGAAACTGATAAGCATGGTATAGCAACTTGTCTGTATGCTAATTCCGTTAAAGAAATAAGACTTCTGGAAAAAGGACAGATAGCACGTCAGAAAGTCGATATCCCGATGAATATTTTGAAATTACTGGAACACATACTTAATATTGACTTATGTAACGTATGCGCGAATGCGTAAGGATGTAAAGGAGAACCAGCATGAATGAACGTGAATGGAACGTAATGTTGAATACTTTTCCCCCCCTTATTCCTCCTGTATAAGCCTGTTTAGCGGTACATATGTATATTTATTTTTTGGGGTAATGTGGTTATCTAGCTGTTGGTATCGTATGTGCCATTTAACCATGCTGCTGTGATGCGAGAGATAGTCCAAAATCTAATAGAAGTAGGACTAACTATGATCCCTTTGCATGAAGGTGTATTGGACCTAGCAGGAGTACTGGGCAGGGCAGGTCTTCCACCTTCATTGACATTGAGACATGTTTGAATAACAAAGTAATTAGTGTGTACCCTTATAACATACTGGCTTACTAGCTAATGCCAAGAGGCGAAACTATTAAACTTGGTTGGTGACTGGTGAGGCACTGCTAGATGCCAAGCAGCTTGAGAGGCTCTATTTTAGAATCCATTCCCCTAACCAAATGAGTATTCGTACCTTTAATAGACAATATGAGGGAACATAAATTATACTGGAAGATTGTACCTAGTAAAACATACAAATGAACTTGTTTGACAGTAAATGAATTCAGGGAACACAAACCCGCGAATGGAAACGAATGCGAACCACTGAACGGGTGGCTAGTATCGGCTACTCCCCCAAACATGTGAATGCCATACAATGTATCTAAAAACCAACATACAGAGCTTTCGTGTATACGCGAATGCTCTTGCTGTGTAGATTAGAGAACAAAGTTGGATAATGGAGGGATTGCACTTGCGCAGCAGTCTAAAGCATGCCAGTTTTATTTACGATACTGGAGATCGTGCCTGAGGGATCAAGAGCCAAGACAGGGCTTGGAGGACCAGAAAATCACAGCTGGAACCAGGAAACAGGTCGCAGGAGACCGAACAGCCAAAATCAGACGGAGTAAAGCAGAGTGACCAAACCGGAAGCGGACTCGTTAAAAACCCCCTAGTATGGAGCAGTGATAGGAAGCAGAGTGTCACGGCTGGGGGAAGACAGTAGGTACACTTAACCTCTTAAGGACCAAACTTCTGGAATAAAAGGGAATCATGACATGTCATGTGTCCTTAAGGGGTCAAACCACGTGGAGAAACAGGTAAGTTTGCAAGATGGTGACCTGCATGTGACCCGGAAGTAGTCACATGCAAATTGCTAGACCAAGAACGATGTGGAGCAAGGTAACGAGTCCTTTTAAGTAAGGAAATCATGCCCCTCCCACAATTATAGGCTTTTGCCTTAATACACACATATATATATATATATATATATATATTGTCCAAAGAGGTAGCTGCACTCACGGAATAAAAAAGTCCACTTTTTAATGCTTGATCGGGAAATATATTTAGTTTGTATACACGAATGGCACTCATACTGCATTAGCTTCTGATCCCATGGTGACGCTGTGTTTTGTCGCATCACCATGGAAACGGGAATGATGCAAACACGTATTGAAGGCACGTAGGGGTGGAGCTTAGGTGCACAGGCGCACTAGCAATGTTAGAACGCAGATTTGAGACACCTTTCACCTGGGGGTAAACTTATTTAGATAATATACTTGCCTATATAAGATTGTAATGTTTATTGTATGTTTCTGTTAATCCTGAAGAAAGTCCTATATACAGGACTGAAACGTTTATCGTATTTTAAATATTTTCTAATAAAAAGTGGACTTTTTAATTCTGTGAGTGAAGCTACCTCTTTGGACAATGGATACTGAAGCCCTGGATAACTAGCATCCGGTAACCAAGGTACATTCAAGCGTGAGTGCAATAGTTTTTTTCATTTTGTCTTATATATATATATTAATAGATATATTTATTAGTTTGTGCAGTAAAATGCCTTGGTCTACTGTGTCAAAGGCCTTTGCAAAATCAAGGAAAATAGCTCCAGTTAGATCTCCTTGTTCCATGATAGTTTGAATGTCATTGCAAACTTTTAAGAGGGCAGTTGTAGTGAAGTATGCGTATATGTGTGTGTATATATATATATATATATATATATATATATATATATATATATATAAAAACAGAGAATGACCGCACTCAGGGACTTGTAAATATCACTAAAACTTAACTTTTAATGTTCAAAATAAATCAAATCAATTTATTTGATTTATTTTGAACATTAAAAGTTAAGTGTTAGTGATATTTACAAGTCCCTGAGTGCGGTCATTCTCTGTTTTTCTATGCTATTTGCCTGACCAGCACTGGGCACATTATTTACCTATTCCAGGAGCATATATATATATATATAAAATCGAGAAACAAAAGTGCACTCACTGAGCTTATTTTCATTTGTTTGCAGTGCTGCCTTTATTTATGGCAGTAAGAAACACAGTAGTACTGTGCTTATCACTGGCATGGATAAATAAAGTACTGCAAGCAACTGAAAATAATTCTAGCGAGAGTACTTTTATTTATTCTTTGGTACCCTCTATTCTTTGGTACCTCTGGGCCCTAAAGGTATGCCGGCAGCCCATGGTAACAGGGGTTGCAGCGGCGGCCAGGCCCCCTGGAGTGACCCCTGCAACCGTTTTAGTTATACCACTCCCTCCAACCCCAGTAAGCAGCTGAATGTCTAGGGGTGGTAACTTAGACTACAATGAGGAACAACTTCAGTGTACTCATCTGTATGATGGTTAAAGCATATTTATTTTGTACTTTGAGTATGACTGTTTTTCATTAGAATATAATATTATTTTGTGTTCCTTTTAATTTAAAGAAATATGATTTAACCATCATACAGATGTACAGTGTATATATAAATATATGAATTATGTAGTGTAGTTCTTGTCAATTGGCACTCTAAGCATATTTTAGTGGTTATGGTTTTAGGAGTACACGGAAGTCGTTCTTCACTTCCCAAATTCAGTGTCCAGCAGACCAGATCTTCCTATATACTCGTAACCCATAAATTACATCCCTCTGCAGTCATACCAACTCCCAACTAAAGATAGCAGTGGCAGGTTGAGAGTTGTCAGTTGATGATCTCGTCCAATTACTGCAATCTATAATTGGTGTCAATAAACTGGCTACTGTGGGAATGTAACTTAAACATTAACCCTACCTCTAGGAAGAATTGTACTTTCTAGACTTGTGCATTCGGTCTAAAAATTGCAGTTTGCTTACATTTTAGCCATAGGTGAGTCGTCTGAATTCCAAAACTCTAAAGTGCCATATGGACATATGATGAAACCAACAACGTGGACAGTTTTGTTTGAGTCATGATTTGGAGTATCGCCTTTGGTGACAAAAAAAAAGTGTTCATGGTTATGGGACAGCCACTAAATCAAATAAATAATTAAATAAACCAGGAATCAGCTGGACAGAGTATGTTTTATGCAACAAAATGCTCAAAAGCAACAAAATGTTTAACATTTCTAATATTGAACTAATGTGGACTGAACTTGCAGGGTTAAGGGACAGGGACAGTGTACCGAGACAATTTCAATAAGATGACGTGATCTGGGTGCCTGTAGTGCCCTTTAAGAAAGGTACGGGAGTCTGATGTGATAATTGGGCAGTTTGTAGCATGCCCTCGCCTGTGATCACTGTTTTTATTTCCATCATCAAGCACTACGCATTGACATTGATATGGGCTCTGAGCGGCAAAATACCCATGAAAGTGAACTTGAATTGCAAAGGCCTTGCACATATTCAACCTTTTCATCTCAAGTCAACCTATAGATTGTGGGAGCCACAAATGGAAGTAAAATGTAAATCTCATCAGTGTTTATGTTTCCACAACCTTAGACAAGTGATGTAACTGAGCTTTAATCTTATGTAGTCTCTAGAGCTCCTATTTGAGTGTTTTTTGCCAAATTTAGCATCTAATTTTAGTTAATTTTAACAGAGATTCTTCATAGATCATATCAGACTATGAGTTAGTATATAAGTGTTATATGAGCACCTGGAGCTATGGGAAAATCCTAATAGTGTGGGGCAAGTTAGTCTGGGCGGCGTGCCTAAAAAGTGTTATCTTTCTTGACAATGCACGTTTGCCACTTTAATCTTTTTTTCTTAATACAGGAGTATTTAATAATGTTAGGACTTTTGAGGTCCCATGAAAATAAAAGCCATGGTCACTTATCTTTCACCCATTTAGCGTAAGCAAGGTAGTATGTAAAACTATGGGGAGTGGTTTATGCTTAAAAAAGAGAAACCAACATAGCGCCGTACGGACGAGATGTCAGCATCTGGTCATTATTTATATCAACATATTGCCATTAAATTCCACTGGCAGATAATTATCTACTACCATTTTCTGATGTAAACAGTTGCTTTCTGAAGTACCTCCAGCCAGAGATGTAACCCTCCCCTGCAGCCCTCCATGTGTCTCTCCCCCCTCTCCGGCAGCCCCTCCACTTGACTCTTCCCCCCTCCCCTGCACATGTGTATCTTCCCCCTTACTCCCTGCTGCCCCTCCATGTGTCTCTTCCCCCTCCCCTGTAGCCCCTCCATGTGTCTCTCTCCTCCTCTCCCCTGCTGCCCCTCCATGTGTCTCTCTCCCCTGAAGCCCCTCCATGTGTCTCTCTCCCCTGAAGCCCCTCCATTTGTCTCTCTCCCCCTCTCCCCTGCAGCCCCTCCATGTGTCTCTCTCTCCACTCCCCTGAAGCCTCTCCATATGTCCTTCCTCTCCCCCTCTCTGAGTGAACAAAACCTGTCAGACCACTCGGCAGCGATACACACAGGCAGGAGGAGAGCAGCACAGCACATTGCTCCCCTCCTGCTGATCAGCCTGCGACTGCGGCCCAGCCAGTGCTGCAGTGCACTGGCCCTAAAGGTATGCCGGCGGCCCAGTGTCACAGGGGTTCCAGCGGCGGCCATGCCCCCTGGAATGCCGGGCCCAGTTGCCACTGCAACCCATGCGACAATGGTAGTTACACGACTCCCTCCAGCCCCAGTAAGGAGTTGAATGTTCAGGTAATGTAACTTAGACTGTGTGTACTCTGTCTTTCTCTCGCTATACAGATAAAACTAGCGATTAAATATTATGGGATGGCACCTAAAGAATTGTTTAAAATAAAATATATCCAATAACATCTCTACACTTTATCGGTAAATAATTACTGCATATCTTATGCATGGTTAACTTTTAATAGTAAAATACAGAGAGAAGCGAATACACAAAGTATTCATTCCATGATGAAAAGTATACATTTACAACCTAGTGTTGTGCAGCCTTGGCAGCCGGGAGACTTATGGACATGTTCACGTGAAATAAAATCTGCTCTTAAAAAGAGCAGACTTATTGATCATGTGGAGTTATTAATATTCTTTAACCAACGTTCCTGTGTCCTGTGGATATACAGGCGCCATATAAGACTCTGCTGATAAAATGCAGCCTCGGGCTATTTTCTGGTCTCACCTGTGACCCCAGATCATCTCTACTATAGCATGAACCCTGCCATTTAAATGACAGTAGAAGATACTGATACCATATAGTCTACCCGATGAAGACTGAGAATTTCAAGTCATTTCAGTCTATGCATAACCAGTACGTCTACCCATTTCAGTAAAAACATAGATATGTTTCACACAAGAGGAAAACAATAGAAATTGGTCGCTTTTGTGTCAATTAGATGAGATAAGTGTATCGCTTGTAATTGAATTGCATTTTTCCCACATAAATCAATGGGGACACGTCTATTCAATTACAAGAACTACGCATATGTCATCTAACAGAATTTAGTCTTTTGTTGCAGAACAACATTATTAAAATAACATTCCAGGCCGGCGTTAACCCCTCCTTTTTATTAGATTATACAGAATGAGATTTATGGACATAATAAAAAAAAAGCTAAAAAGATTTACTGTTTTTTTTGCAGGGAACAGGATATGGCCACGTTGTGTTTTTCAATAGGAAAGCTGTGTGTATGCTGACATTCCCTGCTGGTAAAGGGTATGTGTTATATGTATTTCTGCAATTTCATTATTAAAATGCCATAAATGAAGCTATTGAGCAAGCTTATTATTAAAAGGACACTCCAGACCCCAATAGCACTAAAGTTTGCCGAAGTGCTTTATGTGTGAAGAGTGTGTGTCCTCTTTTTTTAACTTTACAAAAAAAAACAGATTTCAAAAGTAATAGCCACTTTTATAACGGAACTTTGTTAAACCCCCTGGCTGTCAATCAGACAACCAATCGTGTTACTTCCTGGTTGCTTCGCTGAAGTGGAGCTAAACTGAAGAAACAGGAAATTGCCCAGAGCTCCTGCCTAGCAAATACTTCTCACTTAGCTGCATTGAGAAAACTGTGATTGGACAGTAACAGAAAGTCTTGGCCTAGTTAGAAGGGGAAGGCTTTCAACTGCTGCAGACAAGAAATCTGCAGATAAACCCAAACGGTATTACTAAACTGATTTTTTATTGATTTTTTTTTTTTTTGTATTTGGGCAATGAAGTGCACCTCTAAAGCTATTTGAGCCAAAACATTGTATTTTGTGTGGTGGTACTCGGCACCAATAATAGCTATAATTGTAACTTGAATGTTTACCTTTATAACTTACATTTGCTATTTCTTGAATTGTGGTATTCACTCTTTGGAGCAACTCTGTGGTGAATGGGCAGCTGTATAGGGAAGAACTTAAGTAAAGAGTTCCCTGTTACTTACAAAGCGTGCCAATGACAGTTCACCTTCATGTAAGCTAAAAATCTAATCAATTCACTAGCGATTTTTTTTTTGTTGTTGCAGATTTACAACCCAAACTTAATACATGGTGAACTTTACTTCCTTTTCTTGGTTGGGAGATAGAACTGTGCACTCCCTAACAAAGCACAACACTCCTCAATATTTAGCATGTGCACCATATTGGTGAGCAAAATACATAGATGACCCTTTGGCCAACCATGTTATATCTGAAAGACAGTTTGTCTCAAAATTTACAAATCAAATATGTGACATGAAAGAAGGATAATTTTGGACCAGTAGCCTCCAAAAACAACGTGAAGGAGAAACTGTTCTCTCATGTTCCCCAGCTTGCGCTGGGTAGAAGTGTCTCTGGGATGACGTTATCAAATACAAAAACATTTCCAGAAGTTTGCATTCCTTGAAGGTAGTGAGTTACTTACTCCCTTTAACAAGGCTGCCCCTTTTTATGTCGGTTCTAAGATGAAAAGAAGAATACGGGGGCTCTTTAAGAGGGCTATTTCCTGTAACAGCAGTATCCTTTCACTTAGTTTGT